TCATCCGGGCTACTCAGACAGGATAAGCAATCGAGCCCTAATGCAATCAAACTGACTTGGCCTATCAGAGCACGGCTTTGTCAGTCATGTGATCACAACAACCCGGGAGAAAAATGACGGAGAACAGCGGGGCTCGCCGCTCGGGTAAGTAGTCAGTTTGTGCTCTTTATCTTACAAGCAGTGAGGGCTCGACAGCATTTGTATCTTACATTAGCTAAATGAGTGAAGTAGCCTTGTGCCTTGCTGTTAGCAAGCTCCGTAGTTATCATTAATTGAAGTGAATCACAACGTTACCGTGTCCTTTTGTATGTGTGTGTGGGGGGGGGGACGGTTTGCAAAGCAACTTAACGATCACTTCGGTTAGATAAGTCAAGTAGACCATGCTACACTATACGAAATACTCTCTTACAAAAGCCCTGCATTTAAACATGTTAATGTTACTTTAGTAAAAGTATGCTAGTATAATTAGCAACAAGTGTTGTTAGAGTATTTAAAGTAGACACAAGTTATTCTATTATATTATATCATTTGATTTATTGTTATTACCGATGCACGAGTTGACTTAACTGTTGTAGTTGGAGCTCATTTGAACAATGAGCTAACTAATTATTACTTTCATAATGGTGTAATGTGCCGACTATTTTCTACATTAATAGATGAAGGTCTGGTTTGTTCAAAGTCTCAAACTAGTAGGACCAGAGCCCGAGAGACTCTAGGGCTCTGAGTAGGACATGCTGTCATAATTACCCAGAGTCCGAAGTGACACCGTTACAATGTTAAAGCTGTTGGATAAATGTAGTGACGTAAAAACTAAAGTATTCAAGATAGTGTAGTGGAAAAGAGATAATGTTTTTTTTTTTAAATGTTACCAAAACAAAATCTCTTGTTTTGGACTGACAGTAATGATTCAAGAAATAGTAGATAAATAAATACACACATCAATGTGTTGTGGATGGAACACAACAAATGGTGCTCTTACCTGTGATGCCTCCTCCACACATTATAACCAGACTGTATCATTCAAACTATAAGTAACAGTTCTAGCTACTTGACTTCAGACAAACAATTCAAAAGACAAAATCAACACAATGTATTGAAAGACCAATCTTTATTTCTCTCCTTTTGTTTGTGTTATTAAACCCTGTCAATCTAAAAAACTGAGCAACTCAACAGTTAACTTTATATTTCTTATTGTCCAAAGCATCTATTACACTATTTGTTCCCCTCTCATATTCACAGGATGGATGATTAGAGACTTTGGGGGAGACCTCAGCTTTATGATTGTTGCTTTGGCCGGAGAGGGCTGAGGGTCTTTCCCTGCGAGGAGTCCTCCTCGCAGGGAAAGACCCTGCAGGCCTGATGGAGGAGGACTTACACCAGCTGCACCTACAGAACTTAGCCCATGCTGGGCATAGCTGTTACCACCTGCACAGGCCTAGCCTGTCAATTAACAGATTAACATTTAGTGTAACTTATGTATATTATTTCGTTTTTATTTTTTTTTAAAATGGTGATGGTTCATGCTTGATAACTTTTAGTTCACATTTCAATAAATTGTATCTGCACTCCTTTTGTCCGTTATCCTTACTGAAAATGTTAAATTACACATTCACATCTGACTGAAGATTGGTACCATTTATTTATGACGTTCCAAACTCGGCGGCACAAGGCACAAGTATTGTGAAGCTCAAAGTGCAAATGCATTTGATCAGCTGACTTTTTTTTTGCCAAACTTTATAGGCCTGACAATCACACTGTCTCTGTGCAACGTAAAACACAAAACAACACAAATGAAGTTCTTGTTAGACTACAAAACTAGTCAGTGTGCAGGTCTTTGTGTTACAATACAAGTGTCTCTTAGTGAATGTCCTGTACTGCTCTTAAATCTCATCACATCAGCTTCTCCTTTCCCTCTTGGATGTTCTTCTGGACCCTCAGAGAAAGAGAACATGGTGAAGCAGTCCTGTCTCTCAGGCATGTCCTTTCCTAACAGAAATATCAAAAAACATATTATTGCAGAGCAAGTATGTTATTTAAGAAAGAGGTGTGTTTGTTTGTTCATAAATATAATGATTTTTTATTTGAATGTGTTTTTTAAATCCAACAGTGTACTACAAAGATAATCAGGTTATGAATAAACCGTTCTAAATTCATCAACATTGAAATAAATGTATTATTAAAATAATATTTAACTGTTATCAAAACTTAGTGCAACTGTGGAAGCTTGCTCTGTCCGGTTGTCTCACTGAAAGACAAAGGGTCGCAGCTATGTGATGTTGCTTGGTAAAATGTAAATGTAACCTTTTGCTAAGAAAGTACACTCAACATCACTGATGTGTAGGTGATCTAGTATTCAGTCATGTTTAATGGCATGTCTATCAGTGTATTGGAGTCATTACTTTATGCATTCTTTGTAAAGCATGAAAAAGGTGTACCTTGGAATCCGTGCTGAAGTTCTCTGCTGTTAGGACTCCAGATCTGTCTCTCCTCCTCTGGTCCAGCCTGTCTGGATCACCTTAAGGAGACTTTGAACAAACAGATGTAAAGTTACATGCATGGGTTACAGACTTCTTTCCATGCAAACAACTTTTTATCTTCTTTTAAAAACAGGTCATAATCTTATTGTTATACTTAAGAAATTGCTGGATATCACAGTCCTTATACTGTATCAGTTTGATTGAGTATTATTGTGTAGGTCCTTTTTATTTTACTGTTACTTTGGATGAGGTTTTCATGAGTCAGTCAAATTTGTTTTCATATGCCATATTCATATGTATCACACACGTAAGGGTAAGACACAAACCTATTGAACAAATGCAATGCAATGGATAAGCTTCATTTCCACTGAAGTCACAGATAACGTCATATATCATATTTAAACAAATCATTTCCTTGTCACTAAAGCATTGACTACGCTATTCATCATCCTTAAATGCAGGAATTAAGTTACATGTTCTGTTCTACAGCCACGATGAGGCTGTTTCTCAAGTGTGAGGATAATACAATTAAAAGAGGCATTGGTAATAATATTAAAAACAACAATGTTTGGGTCGTTCGTCGGATAGGCGGTTAGCTGCAATAAATAACTCCAGTTCAACAAACCATATTACAATATCTAAGGGAGCGTTATTATCTTGAAATGTGACGTTCATATTTTAAAGATACACACATTTAATTGTGAGGTTGATTTAATATACACTAAGCCTCTCTTCAACAATACGTTGACGTTAGCTAGTCTATTTTATGCTATAGTAGAGCATAGCGAATTTAAATGAACCTTAACAATGCATACAGTAACCTAAATAGCAAACTAACTATCTAACGTACAAAGATGACCTTATTTTAGCAACCTCGCACAGAAGCCTTTTGGTATACAGTAGCATCCCACTTAATGTTTTACACTCTTGGATGCTACGCATAGCATCGTTAGCACAGATGGAGCTACGATTGCTCAAATGCTAACCCAACTCTAAACATGCATTAACGTTAGCTTAATAAAAACACCAGTAACATAACATAAAGTACGCAGGGTTGACTTACCGAAGAAACTGCATTCATGGACGGTCTGTTTCAACGGCAGATAAATCCTATATTTGCAGGACGAATAGTCCACCAGGAACCAACACAACAAACACGGCCGAGTTCAAGTAGTGTTCTCCTCATGAGCTGAGCCGCTGTAGCATCACGGAGCTAACGGAGCTAGCAGAGAGGAGCTAGGAGCAGCAGCCCCGTTGTCATGAAGGGGGAATCTAACTATATACAGAATATGTTTTTGTAGATCCAGGCTAGAAACATGTTCATTTTCTGATGTTAAGTTGGACATTTTAACAAAGAGTCTACGGGAATTGCTCCCATCTGCATCCATCGCCTACAGTTTGCAGCATTGGGCTTCACCGCACTGTCCCGGGGTTTGCCGCTTGGCTCTGATAGGCCAGAAGTCGGTTTGATTGCATTAGGGCTCGATTGCTTATCCTGTCTGAGTAGCCCGGATGAGGCTGCATCGCAATTTTTGACGTCGAATTTTACACACCGAATTTTTTTACATCGAATTTTAAACACCGAAATATTTGACGTCGAATTTTTTTCACTTGAATTTTTGGGATCTGAATTTGAACATTCGAATTTTTTTAACTTGAATTTTTACATTTTTATTTCACATAGATAAATTCGGAGCAAAAAAAATTCAGATTCATGATTTTCAAAGTAATTATTTTCAATGCTATAAATTCGGTGTCTAATAAAATTCAAATACTTCTGTCTCTTGTTTGCTTCCATAGTACCAGAGTAGCTGTTGACTGTAGCAAGATGGCGGCCGGTTAGCTACCCTGGAAAATCTCCCATGAGCCATCTAGTGTTTATATATATATCTATGGCCACCACAGCTAGCTGCTGCTTCCGGTCTCGGCGATGCAGCAGTCTCACACATACACATGACCAAATAAGGAATATGTGGGAGTTCCCCTCGATTCCATTGGCTCTGACTGTCAGAAAGAGATGTCACATGTCAAAATCGAGCAAGGGGGGCCAGAGATATGGAAAATCCACCCAAATGGCCCCAGAAGAGGTTTGTTTTTGCTAAATCTGTCTAAAAGGGTCAAATATCACTTGTTTTGCATCAATCTTGATACAGGGTACTTATTATATGTTGTACTTTGGATTCCTAAAGCTTTTAGTCTACTAACCCATCATCCAAGGTTAGTTTTCACTATAAATACAAAATATGTTTTGGACGGACACTATAATTTACAGTTTTTTTACCATGTTCAATCTGAATTTTCTTTAAAATAAAAAACATCTATATTGAATCTGACTTTTCTACATCCAACTCACAGGTTTATCATTAATTTGAGAAAAAAGATTATTAATTTAACCCTTTTAGAAGGGAAGATATGGTAATTTATTCTGGGAATGTCATTTTCGAGCCTGAAACCTGAAAAACAGGCTCGGGGTTTAACAGGTTAATGTTTATCTTTTGTTAATCAGTGATCATTCTGACGACATGATCCTAGATTAGTAACCCTTATGCTGGCTGTGCTCCTCCTTTATGCTCACACCTTTGTTTTATCTCCGTTATAAACTGGTCAGACTTCCACAGGCAGCTGGAGTTGATCACACATCACCATGCTTGTCTGGATACTAGTGTTTGCCGCGGTGGGTCTTCTCGTCCTATTTTTCCGCAATCCGCACTTTTTCCAGGATGTCCAATTCGTGCGTAAAAAGTTGAAAACGAGGAGCCGCATCCTGAAATACATGCAGACCAACTACTCCTTACTGGATCGGTTCATAGACGCAGAGAAGGAGCATCCACACAAGCCGTTCATCCTGTTTGGAGATGAGACCTTTACCTACCGGGACGCGGAGGAGCTCAGTAACAAGGCGGCCCGGGTGTTACTGCAGAGTGGCCTGCTGAACCAAGGAGACACGGTCGCGCTGTTCCTCGGAAATGAGCCCGTGTTTCTGTGGCTGTGGCTGGGTTTGGTGAAGATCGGATGTTCCGCTGCTTTCCTCAATAGCAACATCAGATCCAAGTCCCTGTTACACTGCTTAAAGTGCAGCGGAGCCAGGACTCTGGTCGCTGCGGAAGGTAAGTAATCAGGTTGATTTGAGATGGGCGTCATGAAAACAAGTGCTGGATTTATGTGATGTGCCCTAACTTCAGTGTAGGTTTTTAGGGAGATCAGTCTTTCTTTTAATCAATTAATTGAGTAAACTAATTAAAATCATTGTTTTAATAATAAGAAATGTTTTCGGAGTAGAACTGTCACTGTTTTAAGTCAGTTTTTTATTTTTATTTTGTAAAGGCTCTGGGAGATGCAATTTGCTTTCGACTAGGCCTAATTCATTTCTTTAGAGTAAGAAGTAACTAAAAGTAAACTTGTGTCACGTGGAACTATCTTTTTTTTCAAGTAAATGTCCCTTTAGTGTCAGAAAGGAATGCACAGAGGATAGGCAAACTCATAATATTTTTTTTCAGGAGGTAAAATCCACATTTCAAAAAACAAGTAGATTAAATAAGATCAAAAATAATTGGTATTTTTGACTTCTGAACACTGGTGCATGTGCAGTTAACCACTGCCTCAGCTGCAGGGAAGCACAAAGGTGCAGAGGAGATGCTCATTTTATTTTCTTGTCAGAGTTACAGGATGCTGTGGATGAGGTCTTGCCTGCTCTGTTGGAGCAGCAGGTCACTGTGTTCATCCTGACTGACAGATGCCAGACTGCAGATGTGAAGAGCTTCAAAGATAAAATGAGCCAGGCCTCCTCTGAGCCGCTGCCCAAGGATTTAATGTCACATTTAACCCTGCGGAGTCCAGCAGCCTACATTTACACATCCGGGACAACAGGTGAGTTTCCTCAGGTGCAGAAATCCCCTTTTGAATGAGAAATAACTGACCTGAGTTACCTGGACTTCTTGTTAAAAAAAGTCTCGAGGAATTAAAGTTGAATTCAGTAAGGACACTTTGTTTCTCTTGCATTTCTTTAAGATGAATACAAAAAACATAAACAGAAGAAAGTCTTGATGAATTAAAGTCATTGAGGACAAGTGAAAATGCACATGTTTCGGAAAGTAGAGAGCATATAAATGATGTTTTTCATATTGTTTTGCTGTTTTAATACAAGTCCAACATTTACTCAAGTTCATCAATACATCTTTGTCCCCAGTGGATATTTATCAAGTTGTTTTCAAGAATTTAAAGTAACATGAGTTGATACAAATGGTACAATGGTTATTCTGTGGGTGAAATAGGCCTATTTCTTAAAATGTTCAGTGTACAACACAACATGCCTCTGGCTTCTCCTTCTACAGGTTTCCCTAAAGCAGCTGCGATCTCTCATGCCAAACTGTGGCAATTAGCCTGCTTCCCGTCTCTAGCAGGAATGAACTCTGATGATGTGATTTATATCTGCCTCCCACTTTATCACACCACCGGCTTCCTTGGATTTGCTTCAGCTATTGACAGAGGTAAACACTTGGGTATATATCTAATGATCTGGTAAGGAAATGTTTTAACAGCATCAGTAGTTTTGTTAGGCAATATAGGTGGTGTTATATTGTATTGTTTTCACTAGGGATGCTCCGATCGCCAATTTCGGGGCCGATCGCTGCAATCAGTATCGGCCGATACCGATCGCCGATCCGATCGAGTGGGCGGGGCCTAAATGGAAGATTTAAACATCACTTTAAATCTTCCATTTAAAGTGATGTTTAAAACTCAGTTAATGGGGCTCATTCACTGGAGCTTCCACAAACAACAATCAACTTAATTATTACATTCAAATGATGTACATTATTCAAGTTTACATTCACTTTGGATAACAACACGGGAGAAATTAGCGGAAGCGCTCTCTTTTCCTCTCTCCCCTCTCCTGACAGCCTGTCGGTATCTCATGCAGCTCACTGATCCAGTAATGAGTGACCCGACAATGAAGAATACATATATTTATAATAACTAGTTTAGCTTGTTCCAGAGGTAGATAAAATAGCTAAGTGTGTTAGGTCTAACTCTTACGGTACGTCCACACAGCAGCTTTTCAAAAATCTTGAAAATCTTGGAGCTGGGCGTGTCTGAAAGCTTGGGGATTTTTTGCGACCAACAACCAATCACATGAATCTCCCGCCCCCGACATACAAAGCAAAAAAAAACGGGGATTTTATGCGAGCAATATATAAACTCCCCAAACAGGCGAAAACCTACCAGTTTCACCCACTGTCTCTGCCACCTCCCTCCATGCCTGGTTCCTCCGGTTTGTATCCCGTTAAATAGTTCTGGTCGTAAAGAACCGGGTGATTTGCTACCGTAATTTCTCGTTTGGAATATGAGGAAATGAACTGCGGTCTGGTTCTCCCTGTGTGTGTGTTTCGCTGCGCTTACCTGTCCGGCGGGCGGAGCTGCAGGATTTCTGCTTCACACGTTGCATACCGCTATTTTACTGTCTTTTTCGGACACCTTAAAATAATGCCAGACCGGTGAAGCCATGTTGGCGAGCTTGTTTTGCCGCACACAGAGAAAAGTGTCATGTATTTTACGTCATGCGATCGGCATGTTTAGAGAGCACCGATCGATCGGTAGAGAGTGAGTATCGGCCGATCTCGATCGGTGACCGATCGATCGGAGCATCCCTAGTTCTCACTAATTCAACAAATTAATACATAGTTGGTTATTTCAATCAGGGATAGCTCAGATAATAAAATATAAAGATTAAAGCACAGAGGGGTCGAGGAGAAACCCAGTCAGACTGACCCAATGGCATCGAACCCTAGCAATGAACAAACAAGCGAGCAGTGTATATGTGGAAGAATCTGAAAGACTGATCTCGGTTTGAAGATCCACTAAGTGAGGAGGAAGTGTCTGTTGTAGCAGGAGCAGCACAAGGCTCCCCATACTGCCCTGAACTCCAAGTATGCCAACTATTCCTTCCAGCACAAAGTCCGAGAGGACTCAGAAATAGCCAGCCGCAAACATGACTTCACCGTGGGACCAGTTTGACGGAGATGTTGATGATATTCAGGAGGCAGCAAGGGGAGGGGGAAGCCAATCAAAAGCTGAAAGCCATGATGGCAAAACAATTGTTATTGCCAGCATAAAAAACAAAGAGGAGGTGAGGATTGACAACATCATGATGAAGATGAAAGCACTGAAGTTCGAGGAGGCAGAAGAACAGGATGCGCATCAGCCTGGCTCAGCTGATCTGCATCCTTCCAAAGAAGATCCAAATCCTCCAGTGGGCATTTGAGACATTGTGAAAGGCCTAAAACTTGCTGCCTCTTTTTTTCAACCCCATCAAGTTCAACACGGAGTTTCTGGAACATAATAACTGGAAAACTGTCCACCTCGCAGCCGCATCCTTCCTTGAGTCTGACTCCATCTTTGTCCAGATGGATCAGCGTAACTCTCTCTCTTATCATAGTTTTAGTAAACATTGGAGTTTTGTGGCACAGAGGAACAAGTCCTATAAAGCTTTGCTGCACAGACATGTGTTTGTGGGTCGATCATAGATTTGTTGAGAGGCCAAAATTACCAATCCTATCCTCTCAGTTGTTTTTTTGTCTGTTGCTGTGTGTAGGTATCACAGTGGCTTTGAGGAGTAAGTTCTCTGTGTCGCAGTTCTGGAACGACTGCAGGAAATATGACGTCACCGTCATACAGTACATAGGGGAAATCATGCGTTACTTGTGCAACACACCAAAGGTATCACAGAACTAACATTGATGATACTTTAGTGCTCACCAGATATAAAAATAACAGTTTGTTTTAATGTTTTTTCCCCGACAGAAACCTAATGATCGAAGCCACAAAGTGAGACTTGCAATAGGCAACGGGATCAGAGCCGATGTTTGGAGGGACTTCATCAGCAGGTTTGGAAACGTTAAAATCAGAGAGTTTTATGGAGCGACTGAAGGGAATTTTGGTCTGATAAATTACAGCGGCAAGATCGGGGCTGTGGGCCGAGACTCCTTCCTCCATAGGGTAAATTCCCAGATTTAATTTCACATTATGAGGTTAAAGCTTTTAATCAATGAGCAACGTTTTGACTTTACTTTTCTTTCTTTTATCTTGCAGAGATACTTTCCACACGCTGTGATCAAATTCGACGTTGAAACAGAAACACCTCTGAGGGACTCCTCTGGTTTATGCATAGAGGCTGCCAAAGGTGCATTATTACTGGGGCTGTGGGGAACAGAAGTAGAAGTCACATTTTAAAATGTAAAGAAATGTAGACTCAATGTACAAATATTGTACCATTACCCCCCCCCCCCCCCCCAAGAAAGAAATACAGGAATAAATACAAATGTTTGACATATTTTATACCTGATGGAGTAAAGAATGTGAACTTTTGGACATACAACTGTTTTTAACTATTATAACGTTTTACTCAAGTTGTTACTTTAATACTTTTAAGCAGCTCTTTTATTGAGCAAAAATACTTATGTATAAGGTCAACACACCAGTATATGTGTGTGTATATATTACAAACACGTACCTATGTGTATCTATTTCACATTGTGCTATAGTGAGTACGGGGTCATGATTGTGATGAACTAACTGCAGGTGAGCCTGGACTCTTGGTTTCTCAAATATCCTTGATGGCTCCGTTCTCGGGGTATATGGGAGACCTGCAGCAGTCTGAGAAGAAGAGGCTGCATGACGTCCTGAGGAAAGGAGACTTGTACTTCAACACTGGTGACCTGCTGCGCATTGAGGAGGATAACTTCGTCTACTTTCAGGATCGAGTGGGAGACACTTTCAGGTGAGTGCATTTTGGAGTTTCAGCCACCTGATGTTTGACGTTCAATGACCTTGAACACAGCGTTAATGTGTGTTTGTTTCTAATGCTAGATGGAAAGGGGAGAACGTGGCTACAACTGAGGTGGCTGACGTGATCACGATGCTTGACTGCATTAAAGAAGCCAACGTTTATGGAGTGGAAGTGCCAGGTAACCTCACTGTATATCTACTCTTTGTTCTTTCTGTCACAGCAGAAAAGTGATGAGCAGAAACAGTGAAGTTACCTACAGCCGCAATTTACCAACTGTTGTTTTCATCATTAAATAATCTGTATCAACGGGTTCTGTTGAGTAATGGCCAGTCTAATTTAGAGAATCTCTTTGATCACACAAGTTTATAATTTAATACCTCAGTGTTGTATTTTATATTGCGCCAGGTCTGCCAGGTTTTTATTGGAGTGTACAGGTGTTTTTCAGTAAACAGTCAGTAACATTTTATTACCCTTTTTTGTATAGCAGGTATTCGCACTTGCTTAAATAGGACCCTGGTTATGTAAAGCAGTCAGGGCAAAGTGCAAATAGGTGAGCTGAAAAGCTTTCCAGAAAACATGGGGGAAGTCGTTATTTTAATTTTACCCTATGATTTGTTCTGCTCACTAACATGGTCGACAATTGCAGTTGGCATCAACTTGGACATTAGTTGAAAAACCTCCGATATAAAAAGTATTTAATAAATTGTGCAGTGGAAAAACCGACTTTCGGACATTTAAAACAAAAATTGTAGTTTGTACTGTTTTCAGATCGAGAAATGTTCTGCCTATAAGTTAAATGCATGCTATTTTTCTGGTTTCCACAAGGGGCATTGCTGCTCAATATAATATCAAGTGATATTTCAATTTTGTCATTTTATTTTTACACAGACCTCCTGTGAAGGACATCAAAGCAATTTTTGTAACGTCACTTTACTCCTTCACATGCAACCTGATAACATTCATTCCCTGCTCACAATTTGTAATTTTTTTGAAGCTCAAGCTGAAATGACCTCTGCAGAATATGTTTATTTCACTTCTGTTTAACTTATTTCAGGTCATGAGGGGAGAGCAGGAATGGCTGCCATTAACTTAACTGAAGGACTCAGATTTGACTCGGCAGCTGTTTTCAAACATGTTGAAAACTTCCTGCCGGCCTACGCAAGGCCACGATTCCTGAGGATTCAGGTACTTCAACTCCAGTATTTTCTATACTTTACTAAATTGCTTTGGTTTACACATTTTATTCTTTCCTTCCCTTAATAACTCATTGTTCTGTGATTACAGAGCTCCTTTGATGTTACAGGCACATTTAAGCATTTGAAGATGAAGCTGGTGGCGGAGGGTTTCAACCCAAATCAAATCACCGACCCGCTCTACTTTCTGGATGAAAAAGACAAGAGTTATGTCCCACTTACCGTGGACACATTTAACTTGATCACCTCAGGCCAGATCAAAATGTAAAGTCTTCACCTGATGCATTGTCACATATCAGCCACCTCTGATGTCCAGTGGAGTCTTGCGATTTTATCATATTGGTTCAAATGTGTACTTCTACTTTTTCAGTAATTTCATGTTTATTACTATTTGACTTAAATCCTCCTGTAAAAAGCCTGTTTGAGCTGAGATGAAATGTTATAGTTTTTTTGTGTGAAACAGAGCTGATTCAAACAGTGACGTGTGGACCATTCTGGTCAATTGAGGCCATTGTATGTGTAGGAGCTGGACACTCAGCATGTAAACAACACATTTCTTCTTGTGTCATTGTTGACTTCTTGTTGTCCCCCTCTTTAGGGATCCATTTGAGGAACATTTATTTATGTTTCTGATAATTTTATGAATTAAATTCTACTTATTTTCTATAATTAAACTCTGGGCTTTTATTGTAGCATTACAAATCACACATTCATCTTATTTCTACTAGAACAACATAGTAATGCAGTTGCTTGTTAGTTAGGCCCTGTCCACACAGAGACGAAACGGGTTGTATCCGCTACAGTTCTCTATCTATGGTATAGAAGGTTCGTCCACACGAGGCCGACACGTATACGCGGATAACGTCTCCCAAGGTGGGTAGATCTGCGGATGAAACGCTTGCGGTTCCGTGTGTACGCCCTATATGATCATTTTCTGATAACGATGACGCCATATCCCCGCCTATCCCCACCTCTGCTGCTCACCCCCGCGTCATTGCTGATGTGTTTCGCCAACAACAACTATGGCGGATCACAGGGTTGCTTTCGTGCTCCATACGCTACTGACCATGTTAGTGCAAAATCTACAGCTCCTCTACCACAACCATTAGCAACAAGTGGACATGGAGAACTACATGAACTACTTGTTGCTAAATCCACCGCGGAGAATAAACAGAAGGGCAACCAACCCACCAGGTTAGTGCTAGATCGTATACCTCCTGGGTTTTAGGCGGAAGTGTCTGCCACCCAGGACAAGAGATGAGCATGGCCCATTCTCATTTCACTAATTTCCCCTCACAACCTGGCCGAGGGGGGCTTTTAGGGAGGGGCGAAAGCGCACGCAGCAAAATAATCGTTTTATTTCAATTATGTTGTTTTCGTAATCGTTGCAAGCCAAAGTCGAGATTAAAATACGATTAATTGCACAGCCCTACTACAACACACGGTCAGAAACAGAACCAAAGACACAGAGGGACAAACAGTTCGTTGGCAGAAAATGAAATGGCTGCGCTACACAAAAGAGGATCCGAAAGGGATTCAGTTCAAATATGAGCTTTCCGACCAAGCTGCAAGTTGAAAAGCAGGAGACCAGAGCTGCTCATGCAATTGAACCAAAGAAGATGCACACGGGTCCACCTGGGATCACTGCTGTGAAAAATAAAGACTAACTCACACTGTGCAGAAATGGGAGTATCCCTCACTCCTATGTGGACTTCTACCAGTCTTTGCAAGTCATTCAGGCAGTCTAAATCTAAAACGTACATGATCTGCATGAAATATGCTGTTGTTGTATATAATTATATTGCTATATTGGACATTCCCAATGTTTTAAAGTCTTTTTTTATTTGCCAAACAATTATTAGGCCAGCTATAATGTAATGTATTGTTATTCAGTGAATAACTGATTATAACAATTGATTACTGTTACTTTTCAACTCCAGCCTTTTTCCTATTTTGATCAGATACGCCCTTTTTCTTAGTGTATATGAGATACTAGGCTTGTTTGAGATGAGCGAGACCGACGCAGACCTGCGCAATTGCGACTGCCGTCTTGCTAGTGCGTTTCATGATGGTTAGTCATTTTGTCCGACTTGCTCTTGAGACTCGACTGCTTGAGACGTTGAAAAGACGCCAGCAGCCTTGAGAGCGAGGCGGAGCAGTTTCTCTCCACGAGCTGCAGAAGCGAAATGCTTGATGGGAAACGGGGGGTCACATATTGTAACCCTAGTTCTATAAGCACAGGGGGAGCACTCTACTGGACTCTATGGGTACTACTCTCATCAATGATACGCGAGCGTTCACACACTGAAGTTGTAAATGTAGCCGGCCAATCAGGGCGAGCCTACCTGAATGTGTGCGCATATAAGGCAGCTACACCTCCAGACTGTCATCCTACACCCTCTTCAGCGAGCGGCATAGGAAAGACAGGGCCCCTAAGTAGGACCCCCCCCGTTCTATCTCACACAGGCTCCGCCCTCTACTGGCCTCTGGGTACAGTGGGTGGAGCCCCGATGGATAAACGCTCTGTCGCCCTACAACATCGACCCACCACACTGCCCCTGACCGGCCTTTGGTCAGGGGCCGCACCCCAACTTCCTATCATCCGGTTGTGACCGTGGAGAAGTCGGGGCCGCAGCTTAATTGGCTGGGTAGAGCCTAATTGGTCTGAATAAGCACATAGCTCCACCATGCATGTGCCAGCGCAAGTCACTATATACTGCACACTACGTTTCCCAGGTCCCTAAGGAGCATGGGGAGAATGTAAGTGCACCATATCCCCCACACTCACACACGCTTACCTCATGTAGAGTGTGTGTGTGTGTGTGACCGTAGTGGGGAAGGCTCTCCCCACCTTCCAGCCCTGTATATGGGGCTTACTGCGCACCACGTTTCCCAGGTCCCTACGGAGCATGGGACAACGTAAGTGCATTATGTCCCTGGGGGTCAGATACAGCTAACTGACCCACAGCCCTCCTCCTTTCAACAGTCCTGTGTTGCCCCAGCAAGCACCGACGATGAAAAAGGAGCCAGACATCTCTTAGAGATACTTACCTTATGAACGGGCCTGGCGTAGACCAAGACACCGCCGTGCATAGGTGGACGACTAAAGCCATCTAGCTGTATAACCCTTGACCTGGAAAAACTCCTAGGGTTCTTGGGAACAGAGGAGGGGTTCGGTCTGAGTGTCGGTCTAAGTGTCGCCCAGCTACGGTCACCACGAACCAGAAGGCAACTCGGGTGCACCGATAGAGCGGTCAGTTTGCATATGTTACCGGTCTCATGATTGGGATCTGAGACGGCTGAGAACAATGACAAGAAGTCACATACGTTAGCGTATGGAATTTTCTGCTTTATTCGAAATCATAAAATATATTTATATCTCTCAAAATAACATAGTTCTTTATGTTTCTCAAGAACATATAGAATTAATTAAAACAATAAACTCTGAATTGAAATAAATCAACTTAAATACATGTGTAATATTCCCTTTTCTTTACACAATAAGTGAATTATCTGTATTGTGCATATATACCTTACATGTTACTACACATACTCTGAGTGTGTCATTCACATGTTAACTATTACAAACTAATTCCTTATAAAGCTACACATATTAACAAGAACACTAAGTGTTCTTCATAACTTATGAAACATTTACAATGAGCCTTAGCAAGGTGCTTAGTTAACCACAATAGCATTTTACATGAATACAACACACTACTAACATGGCTAGGCCACTTCTGTAATGAATTCATGTGGTAATAAACTTCTCTATTAACATTGGATTAACATTAACTCTTCTATTCATCTACCAACATTTCTCTAAAGCCAACATTAATTACAACGAAAGGCATTATATCATTGCGTTACAACCGTGTATCGCTAACCAGCTAAAGTTCTAACTTCTAAAGAAAGAATACCAAGCTAACGGCTAACTCGCGCTAGCATCGCGAGCTAAGGTACATGCTAACATGCTAACCGGAGTTGGCTATTCTTATCATAAATACCTCAAATTGCATTTAATTGCTCATTAACCGTGTCGAGTTTTCCCAAACTGTTACTGAATTGATCCGTTAACATTTTATAACATTTACTGATTATTTATGCATTTCTAGACAGTTTACCCACCTGAGAACAATGACAAGAAGTCACACACGTTAGCGCATGGAATGTTCTGGCAATCCCTTGACTTCTTCGCTCTTATCCCAAACCAGAACGTCAGACCTCTAGCCAATGTAAGTGTAGAGCACCATATACAGGTTAAACTGTATAACAGCACACAAACTAAATATCAGTAGATACTTGTGACGAAGCTTGGTGAACATGAAATTGTAAATAAATGTAAATAACAAGATTAAATAGTAGGGTGTCTGCTTTTATGTAACTTAAGCATTACATGCCCCATATTTTACAGTCCGGTACTCATACTCTCTTGGCAGAAGTCAAAGCAAGCAGCAAAGCTGTTTCTTTTTGCTTATATATCTCTCTCTCTCTCTCTCTCTCTCTCTCTCTCTCTCTCTCTCTCTCTCTCTCTCTCTCTCTCTCTCTCTCTCTCTCTCTCTCTCTCTCTCTCTCTCTCTCTCTCTCTCTCTCTCTCTCTCTCTCTCAATGATAGCGCCTATAGGGAGGAGAGCTCCAGAGGCTCAAACGGTTCTGTAACCAAAGCCTCGAGCCCCAATGAAAGTTCCTGTTGCGGGGTGGAGACATACACCACTGGGCGCTGTCTCCTGATCCCCTGCAAAAAACGATTAATAAGCGGTTGGCTAAAGACTGGTCCGCCGACTAATCCCGCATGACAGGACGAGATGGCAGTTGCATACACCTTGACTGTGGCATGAGCAAGTCCCGTTTCCACCAGTAGTTATAGCTAGGATAGAATAGAGCCCAATGTACAGGACAGAGGCTCTAGACTCCCTTCCTCGCACCACGTCTGTCTGTCCTCTGACAGAGTGGCACGTAGCCTGCCCTCCTTCTCGATGGGGCGTACACCTCGCTCTCGATGGGGGCTGCATTGAGCAAAATCCCAAGATACCCCACCTGCTGGTGAGGTATGGGATTGCTCTTCTTCCAATTGACCGCAAACCCCCAACTTGGTTAGGTGTAAGATCAATTGTGTTGTGTGGAACATTGCACATTCCCTGGACCTGGCCATGACTATGAGGTCGTTGAGATAAAATAAAACCCTCATGCCATGGTTGCGAAGCGGCTGGAGCACTGTGGTCACACATTTGCTGAACGTGCGTGGGGATAGGGAATAGCCGAACGGCAATCTGTTGTACTCGTAGGCTATCCCCTGGAAAGCAAAACGCAAAAAACGTCTGTGCTTTGGAGCAATTTTGACATGAAAGCAAGCGTCCCTCAGGTCGATGGTTGTGAACCAATCGCCCGGCTGCACCAGTTCCAGTAATTGTTTTATGGTTAACATATGGAACTTTTTGCAGACAATGTGCTGATTCAGGATGCGAAGATCCAGAATGGGTCTGAATTCTCCTGTCTTCTTGGAAACCAGGAAGTACATGAAGTAAAGCCCCCTTTCTCTGTCCTGAGAGTGCACAACAGACACAGCCTGTTTTTGCAGCAGGGCCTAAATTTCTGTTGAAAGGAAACTTATCTCCTCCTGGGATGATAGATTTGCCTCTCTTACACTCCTGAATGGAGGAGGGAGGCTGCAGAA